CTTAACAACTTAATGTTCTCTTGCTTCCTCTTCCCTCTTATATAGGCCTTTGGACTCCAAGATAAGGTATCATTAAGTTCTGCACGTTCTTGCTTTAGTTATATAACTTTAGACACCTGTTCTTGGCAGCTCACAAAGCAAGGGAACAATGGATGATAGCTGCCATATATCTCTTGAACCAAGAGAGTATTCACTCATTGAAGCAAGTCATCAATTTGCCAAAGTGTTCTCCCCATCTTTCCAGCTGCTTGCCACCTTCTAATATCTCAGAATTGATCAGAAATATCCTTGCAAGTCGATAGAAAGTGATAGCACACAAAGGAAGACTTGAAAACGCGTAGAAAACTGAAACAGCAAAGGCGGGGCGACCGGTCGCGGATACCTTGCGACCGGTCGCGGATACCTTACGACCGGTCGCAGATACCTTGCGACCGGTCGCTTTGGCACAGAGTTGAAAACCAATTCAGACTTTGCAATCTGCCTAAAACCGACCGGTCGCCCATAACCTGCGACCGGTCGCTTGTCTTCATTTTTGTATCTTTTAATTGAGCCATTTTTTTTCTTCAACATATACAATAGAGCACATCTAACAGTCCTAACATTAACAGGGGCCTAACATTTCAGCACACATAACAGCAGCCTCCCCTGCAGTTACAGCCTCTTCATGCGATGAATGCAACTTCCTTTCTTTGATAATGACCTTTGACTTGGCTGTACCCTCCACGCTAACCAACCAATGGCTAAATAGTTAAGCAGAGAACACAAAATGTCTTTGTCAATTTTATGTCTTCCTAAAAATATTGGTGTTAATGTGTGTGAGAAACCTCCGTCCATTTAGTTTAGACTATTACTTGTACTCAAATATATATATATTGTGCGTGTTCAGTTTTGAAGGGAGCTGGAAAATGTTATTCCTAAACAATGACACTTTGTTTGAGTCGATCACTTTTTAGGTCATCTCAATTCGAAGATGAATGAATTTTCATAGGAAGTGCAGGGCCTATTCAGTTTCAAGGTCCATTTTAATGCCCCAAACTCGTGTTAATCTCTCATTTTTTATTTAATATTATATCAATGGGAAATTTGTGCACATAATATATTTCACATTTGACTTTTTTGTAGTTTCTAATAATATGTTTTATTAGAAAATGGTATTAAATAAATAATGTGATACTTCACTTTCTAGCATTACCCGGTCAAGAAATATCGTAATCTTAAGTCATATTCATGTCCAAGTCTTCCCCCGTATTTTTAAAGCCTTCTGCAGACCCACTATCTTTCAAATGCAGGCCAAATTTTCCACAAAAGCCAAAATAAATTGGTCATAATTGTTAACTATGCGTAGAACATGTCATCAACATGACATACGCGCAAGAGCTGCTGCACCTACATGAACAAGACGAACCTAGTCAATTGAGCCCGTGCAATTTCCCTTCTGTCAATTTTAATGAATTCTCCAGCTCTGGGCTAAAGACTCAGCAGATTTTTGTTCCCCAATAAAATAAGATAAATGAATTTTCGTAGGAATTTCCCATTTCACGATTATTCAACGACATCAACCAGAACCTCATTTTACACAAATCTGAAAGTTCCTTCATGGTTATCGCTAATTCAATTATTTAAAAATAAAATAAAATGAAGCATTATAGTTTTAGAATATGAGAAATTTGAAGCGAATTGAAACTATTGATCAGTGGCTGGTTATTAAAGATGTGAATTCTGATTATGGGCTATATATTAACAATTAATTGATCAATGGGTCAAAGTCTTATGACTCTCTCTCCCTCACTAGTCAAAAATAAAATGACAAATAATAATATTAATAATAATAACAACACATTTTCTTTAGGTAAAAAGAAAAAGAAAAATACTTTCATTAACTAGTCAATAATCAATTATTAATGTCTAATAATCAATTATTTTACAAGCCTTCCACATCAAGCCCAAATTTTCCACAAGGCAAGCCAGATTGGTCATACTCATAGCTAGAACATGGCATAATTGACATGGACAGTACGTCCACGACGACAAAGTCAAAGTCAATGCTCAATATTTAAGCAGAAAATAGAACTGTGTTTTACGTCCACGACCACCAAGTCAAAGTCAATGCTCAATATTTAAGCAGAAAATAAAACCGTGTTTTCTCAATTGGTGCTTACTTATTTTTGACATTTTTAGAGGTGGAAAATGTTATGCCCAATTTCTAGTATAAAATAATAAAAGTATACTAGTATAAAGCTTGGACATTTTTTTTTTCTAAACCCCTTCAATTTCTCACAAGTTGTCAAGTTCAATGAATTTTCCCGCTCTTGGCCAACAAAGATGAATGAATTTTCGTAGGAATTTCTCATCCTAAACCCCTACACTCAATCCAATCCAATAGTTGTATCAGAGTGCTTAAAAATCCTAACAATGGTATAAGGGCATAAGGGCTGATTCTAATCCTTTATCAGGGACGGCTATTCGATCAACCTTGGGCGTAAGGGCTAGGATGAGGGAGAGGGGGTCTCGTCAGGATGAGGGAGGAGGGCGGGCGGTGATGGCTGTGAGGACGTGGGGATGGGAGGTGGTCGTGTACAGAGATAGAAGAAGAGACTTTTTTTTTTAATTAAAAAAATTAATTGATTTTTTGGTAGTTGACAGAGAGGGGATGAGAGAGGAGGTGGAGAGTTTTTTTTTCAATTTTAATTTTTTTTATAAAAATATTTATCATGTTTTATAAATGTATTTATTATTTTAAAATAATTTGTGAGTTTCTTTATTGCCACATCATGAGTTAGCAGATTTTTTGACAACAGATTGACAGTGGGTATGAAAATGAAAGGAAATTGAATTTTATGTATGAAGTTGATACCAAAAAAACTTTATGTAGCAAACTTTGAATTTTGGGAAATTTCCAGTAGTAAAGTGATATTTACCCAAATAAAAAATTGTAAGATACATACCACTTGATTGTGTGACTAATACTTGAAAAATGATAACTCAACTATTAAATGTTAATAAATAAATAAAAAAGAAATGAAACTTTTTAGGTAGAAAGGGGCAAAAATAAATTGACTCGAGAGATCTGGCTAAAAATAAATTAATAAATAAAAGAGTAGAAACGTAATTTAAAATACAAATTAAACAAGCACTAAAGCCCTAGTGAACGCCCATTAATCTCAACCTAGCAAATATTTAAAAACATATGACTAAGTCCAATACAGAACTAGCCCATTTACTATATCCTTATTATTTTCCATTATATTGAGTGTAACCAAATTTTTCATAATTATTATAAGCATGGACATAGAAATATTTTATCAGCTTATCTTGTTTATTATCTAGATTTTATAGATTAACAGAATCCTTTTTTTGTTGGAGGGAATGAAATTTCTATTATTCTTTAAACATCTAATAAATTCATTACTAAATATCAAATTTGAGAGTAATTTGGAAATTAAAAAATATTAATAACACACACTTTCTCTCTCCTACAGCCAACCATCATACTTTTTTCCCTCTGTTATGTAACTTGCAGTAACTATGCATAGCATGTGTAGTGTACATAGTTATCTCTTAGGTTTGTGTCGTCCGCTAATTGTTTTATGGTCAACCTACCGACCTTTTAGGTTGGATCTTTGTATATTTGTGTAGATCTATCGTTCTTTGGTCTCTGATGTATTGTCCTTCTAGTTGTGTTCAATGTTATCCTTTTAAATGTTAAAGAAACCATGCAACTTGCGGTTTGGTCCGACAGTTCATTTCATTTTCAAAAACGTCAAACGGTTTGGTCCGACATAGAACGCGTGCTTTAATTAAGGACATGTGCTCTCTACAAAATGGAAGAAAGCTGGCAGAGTTTGATGGCAACAAGTATCCATTTCGATTTATTGTAGATCCTGACCGTCCATAAATCATGGCACATATGAACCGTGAACAATGATCATCAATATCATCAGAGAACTGTTCAACTAATTCTCTCTCATCAATATCATCAAATTGTGACTCGCAATGTATAACCCAATTTGAATGATGCTTATCATGAAACCATGACTTGACTTGGCTGTAGCTTCCACGCTACTTGGTAAAATGATATCCATTCAACACAAAATACTTAAGTTTGTGTCTTTGCTTCCCTTGTAGTCATGTCGTGGACGTCCAAGCAACTCCTCTTTCTGGTTGCTGGTTTCGCTCTTAATCTGATGCTGCTTGTTCATTCCCGAGATGATCAATCAGGTAAATATATCAGCAGCAAGAAAAAATAAATCATTAATTTTGGTAGCATAGTATATAGCTAAGATATATACCTCTCTTTCTTACATATGTGTGTTTATATATCTCAGGATTCATTAACATAGCTTGTGGCCTCCAGGCAGATTCAAGTTATTCTGATACAGACACTGGCATTAAATACATTTCCGACGCAACCTTCATAGACACCGGTGAAAGTCAATACACATGGCCTAGTTACAGAGATGAAAGTCCATACGGGTCTGTTAGGAGCTTCCCTGAAGGAGCCAGGAATTGCTACAAGATAAATGTTACACGCGGCAACAAATATTTGATCCGAGCAAGTTTCGAATTTGGGAATTATGATGGCCAAGATAAGATACCAGAATTTGAACTGCACCTTGGACCTAATTTGTGGGATACGGTTAGGTTTGAAAATCCCTCCAATGCATACACGTACAAAGAGCTCATATATGTCCCACTCCGAAAATATATACATGTTTGTTTGGTGAACACAGGCTCTGTGGTTCCATTTATATCTGCTCTAGAACTCAGGCCTTTACCTAATGCATCTTATGAAACGAAAACGGGGTCATTGGCACTTGTCTCCCGATATGACACGGGCCAAACACCTGATGATGGGGCAGGATACAGGTGAGTCGTCTCCTGGCTAGCTATGAGTTCCCCATATATATATATATATATATGTCTGTGTTTGCAATCATTGAAACTTTTAATTGTTATTATATTCTGATTGAACTTTGGCTTTGATTAGGTATCCAAACGATATTCTTGACCGAATCTGGGAGGATTACTATAGTAACCTCGATGATTGGACACAATTAAACACCTCATCCACCATCAACTCTGAACCTGACGACCCGTACCAACTACCATCTCTTGTTATGAGTACTGCTTCAACGCCAAAACATCCAAGTGATTCCTTGAGTATTATTTTCTCGTTGCCAGACATAAATGCAGAATATCATAGTTACCTGCACTTTGCAGAAGTTGAAAGGCTCCAACTCAACCAATCTAGACTGCAATACATTTTTATGAACGGAAGCCGCACTATTGGGCCATTTTCTCCTCCTTACTTGTCCAGAACAACCATTTACAGCACTAACACTTGGACTCATGGACCATATGCCAATATCAAAATCACCAGGGCTGAGAACTCTACCCTTCTACCCATCCTCAATGCTTTCGAGATTTATATGGTTAAACATTTCGCAGAAGCAGAAACAAGCCTAGAAGATGGTAACCACGAGTTAGTTCTTCCTTACACAAGTGGATTCATCATTTAGTACCGTACCAGTATTCAAGTATATATAAATATATATATATATATATATATATATGAATTGCTCTGATAAAATCTTCTGTTTGCATGTCAAAATATTAGTTGACGCAATCTCATACATCAAGTCAACTTATAAAATCAAAAGAAATTGGCAAGGAGATCCATGTTCCCCTCAAGATTACGTTTGGCGAGGAGTAAACTGTAACTATCAAGACTTTGAGTCACCAAGAATCATATCCTTGTAAGTATATGCGACTTCAAACAAACTTCTTCTGATATTTGAGTTAATTCTACCTCATGTGTTCACTAGTGAAGTTACAAAACATACAATCAGGAACTTGTCCTGGAGTGGCTTAACAGGGGAGATAGCTGCTTCTATATCCAATCTCAAAATGATACAGTCTTTGTAAGTATGTCTTGCTGCATTTGCTAAATGAGTAATTATCAATGTCATTAACTCATCATGTCTTAATTATTGAATCTACGAAAAATACAATCAGGAACTTGTCCTCGAGTGGCTTAACAGGGGAGATACCTGCTTCTATATCCAATCTCATAATGTTACAGTCTTTGTAAGTGGTCTTACTGCATTTGCTAATGTAATGAGAAGGTAGACAATTCCGTTTAAGGTAAATGAGTTGAGCTGCTCATGAATCATGATTTCAGGGATCTATCAAACAACAGCTTAACAGGACCAATCCCAGACTTTTTGTCTAAACTCCCATATTTGATTGTCCTGTAAGTTATTTGGTTATATGTATAAAGTACTGTAAATGCTTAATTTGTTATAAAGCACCGTGATAGATTTTATCTTTGCAGAAACTTGGAGAAAAACAAGTTCACAGGCTCGGTTCCGGTAGGACTGATTGAAAAAGAGAAGAATGGTTTTCTATTATTAAGGTATGCCTTTCTAAGTAAGTCAAGCTCTTCAAATTCAGTGTTTGGCTCACCCTAAAATTATTGAGTGTTTTCTATTCTAATTTTCAAATATTCTCATAATCCAAAATAATTAATTATCACGTATTTCCTTAGAATCTGATTATTGGGAGTTAAAACATTTTCCTCTTTTTTTTTTTGGAAAACTGAGATTTGTAACATATTACAGAGGATATTAAAACCGGTGATTATAATTTATCAAAATCTAACTGCATTTTCCATCAACCGTTTGATCTCAGTTTGTGCGATAATGCACATCTATCTCGACATGTTTCTTGCATATTGAAGAAGAAGTTGAAGAAGAAGCACAGTTTCGTTATTCCCAAAGTAGTGTCAATCGCTGGAATTTTCATCCTCTTATTAGTTGCTGCAGCTATCTGCTGGTGGGGCTTCAAAAGGAAAAGGCAACATGGTAAGACTTCCAATATTTGTTTTTTGTTTTTGTTTTTTTTGTTTTTGCTTTTTTGTTTTGTTTTGTTTTTATTTTTATTTATAGAAAAAATGGTATTTCATTAAATCGAAAGGAACATTACATGGTAAGAACTAACTTGTTAATGGCGGCCTCATTAAAACCTTCCCAAAGAAACAAAATCCCGGGATAGGAAAGAGTATCACCTATGCTATTGACTAAACAGAAGAGTCAAACAACTTATACGAAACAAACCAACCTAAATGCCAACAACAAAACCCTTAAAACAATATCCCATCACTACGTAGGTATCGTCAGGGACGGACCATAGGCATGGCTTGTTGGAAAAAATGGCTCACCTAAGGATACAAGGTTGGTTTTGGCGCTGAAAGGAAGATTTTGAATCTGCCTAAAAGCGACCGGTCGCTAGGCATTTGCGACCGGTCGTTTAGAAGCAGATTCAACGTCTGGAGAGAAAACTTCTGGCGACCGGTCGCTCCAGTCGTGCTGTGACGTTTTCTTACATGTTTTCAACTGTGTTTTCGATGGCTATCGCTTTCCACAAGATTTCAGAGGCTTTGTGGGTCACTTCTGAGTTAAATGAACATTGACTACCTGCTGAATAGTTGGGAGAGCACTCATGGCTAATTGGTTATCTTATTCAAAAGAGATCACTCTCATTTTCTGGTATAAGTGGAAGGTGGCTGAGTGGAATATCATTTACCCACTTGATCTGACATTTAGTCTAAGTTATTGACTAAAGGAGGAACGTGGAGGACAAAGATGGTGCCTTATCTTATGTCCATTGGCTTGTGTAGGAAATGGGGTGAAGTAAGATAACACAAGAG